ACACTGTATGCGCGCCGCGGTCTGTCGACGGGGGGGGGGTGAGCATATATATATATATATATATGTTTACATTTATATTACAACATCCAAATTGAATGGTTTAGAACGGCCGACAAATCCACAAATATTTTCAACATGCACTAACATCCGGCCAGATCACTATGAGGAACCCGAAGGACCACTATGAGTGATTATTCAGGCTCCTGCTACATGGAAGCTGTCGGAAGCACGGTTTGGGGTTTAGGGTTCGGGTTTCATGCACAGCTTGTCCGACCAGAGTGTCAGAATATTGAATGTATCATTATAAGTAGAACCTCCAATTTGGTACTATCGATCCACCCGAAACCCTCAAGCCTAAACCTTCCCCTGAAGCCGAAATCCTGAGCCCTATAGGGATCTCACCTTAATTGGGGTTACAATCAACTATAAGCATAATTGCCCTAATAATAACCCTAGTTACTAAGTCCTGTGATCGACTATAACCATGATTGCCCTAATAAGAACCCTAATCTGCTTTCTACATCCGATGTTACCTTCGAGGCGTAGGGAGAGGTATTTTAGTCATGTATAGACGGCGAGAAACGTTCGCAATGACACAGAGCGAGCTTCTGCCGAACGGAAGGATCCTTATGGACCGAAAGGGCTCTAAACGATTAAGAACTGGACGGTTTAGGGTTTAGGGTTTCTTCTGGATCGAGAGAGCTCTAACCCCAACTGTTAAGACTTGGACCTTAACGACGAGACAAGCTTTGCTTTTTGAGGGGGTTGTCATGAGTGCTACATTTCATGATATAGGGCTTTCAGGGTTCGTATCCCGGACATGGCCCAAAGTCTGGTTTACGGCGTAAAATGTAGAGCCCCACAAACTCGCCAGTTAAACCCTAAACTAAACCCTAAACCCCTAAACCTTCAACCCTAAACCCTGATTAGTCGCTAATCGGTCCTTAAGGAGGCCCGCAGCGAAGTGTCCAAAAAGTCGTGGCCGTCACATTGCCCCCAGAAGGTTTGCTGCAAGGGCTCCTGCGGGCTCCATGGGGGTTCCGATAATAAGGTCCCATTAGGGCCTTTAAGAGCTTTTTTATGAAGGTATCTTTCAGGGTTCCTATGTAAGGGTCGCTATAAGGCCTAAAGTTGCGAAGACCGAAATTCTTTGCGCATCTCTACTCTTAGCAAATATAAAAGCCTAAATAATTACCAATACTACTCCTTATAGGGTTCCTTATTGTAATTATACCATAAAGGAGCCCGAAACCCTATTCCCTTGTTGTAATTATACCATAAAGGAGCCCGAAACCCTATTCCACTTATTAACACCCTGCATTACAGCCGCCCCCTACTACGTAAAGCCTAACCAACTGCATCCGGAACCCAGCTCGGCTGCGCTGTCGGGCCGGTGGTGCTCCGGCTTAGCTTAGGGTTTATGGGGTTTAGGGTTTAGGTTTAGGGTTTAGGGTTTAGGGTTTAGGGTTTAGGGTTTAGGTTTAGGGTTTAGGGTTTAGGTTTAGGGTTAAGGGCAAGGTTATTATAATAAGGGTGCTATGGTAGGCTAGGCTACTTGAAGTCGAGAGGGCGGATTGACTGGTCAGGGGCATCGCTCTTTTGGAAGGAAGCCGACAGCGCCGAACGAACACCAAGCGCATAAAGGGTTTAGGGTTTAGGGTTTAAGCTCTAAGCCCTACCCTCGCAATCTTTGAGCTGTAAGCCCAGCATATAAACCCTTGCATCCTAAACGGCAAGCCCTTGAACCCTACACCCGAGCCTGACGAGCCCTAAATCACCAGCGAGGTCTCTGAGATCTTCACATACTCGATCCTGGGAGAGGAGAGAGCTTGTACTGCCTGAGCTTCCAGGACGGGGGCTGACTTTTCGGGGCTTCGGGTTCCATCTTCGGAACTGAATCGTTCGCAGTCTTGTCTCCTAAATTTTTAGGCTTTTCCAGAATTTGCACCATAACCCTGATGTACGTGTTAAGGCCCCTATAGATTCAGATTGGAGTGGTTGGGCGGGTTTGCAATTGTGGACTACGGTATTAGGCTCTGGCCTGTGTTGAAGGGTTTTGGTTTAATCTGTTTCAAAAGCAGGGAGACCAGGTAGAGTGGCCGGAACCCGGGAACCCAAACGCTTCGCGAAAGCATCCGCAGGGCTATGAACTGTAAACCGTCATCCTTACCCGAAGCCTATACCCTGCTCATCAAACATGCCGCAGAACACCCAGACAGCGCTCGAAGAGTGGTCTGAACCCTCAAACCCAAGCCCTACACCGTAAATTCCCGAGAAATCTCAACCCAAACCTGTCAACCCTCAGCCTTAAATCCTAGAATACTGTTGGTACGGCTGATGGACAAAATCCTGCATGACCTTATATAACTAAACTATGGGATTTATGGTACTCTACTATACTTGGGTCATGCAGAATTTTGTCCATCAACAGTAGTTACTGAGGCTTCTGTATTACCCAATACTGTGAGGGGGTTCCCTAAACCTTATTCTGATTATTTCGGCCCCCCCCCCATACACACATGGCCAGCGTGGCGGAGTAATTCATTTCCGGGAATAGAATTATACTTAGGAGTCTACGGGGGAAACGGGGAGGGCATGTGGTGCTCTGTCTTAGCTTCATATAGTGTGGTATTAGGTGCGGCTTTGGGGTTTAGGGTGTACCGGGTAGAGTTTAGGGTTTAGGGTGTGCAGGGTTTGGTTTAGGTTTTACGGTGTACCCATATTAAGTGCGACTTTGCGGGTTCAGGGCTTCTTGCGAAATCGCTTGAACTACAAACCCGATCCTTGGGTTTGGGATTTAGGAACGAGGGCTCTGGGCTGAGAATCGAAGTTAACGGACAAGCCGGTTAAGGTTTAGGATTTAGGGTCTAGGGATTTAGTGTTTAGAGTGTAGGGTTTTAGTGTTTGGGGTTTAGGGTTTTAGCGTTTAGGGATTTTGGGGTTTTAGGTTTATAAAGCTGACAGGTGTGGAGCACGGACCGAGCACATGGCGCGCACCCAGCTGACCGAGATGTCTTCAAGGACGTGAGAAGCTTGCACCCAGAAAGGTAGTGGTGGGCCCTCCTGGAAGCAAGGATCAAAGATGTCCTTAGCTCCCTTTGAACCCAATTCCTAAACCGCTATTTGCCCGACGCTCAAAGCCCAATAAGCCCTCAGCCCCTACCAGAAAACTCCTAAAAGCTTCAACCCAAATACTTAACCTTCGTGTTTTCGAGAGAGTGCAGGAGACTGTGACATGCATCGCGCTCTGCTCTGAAAGAGGCCGCACCATGTTCGTTGTGTGTTGTGTTGGCATGAACGCTGAGGACTAGCTTCTATCCCCTTATGGTATCTAGCAAAACAATAAGATGATATATGATGCCCCCCTTATGCTTTCTATAGCGAAATAGTAGTGCCATGATAATTACCCTAAACCCTAAACCCTAAACCCTATCATGATAGTTACATGGAGTCTCCGGGAAGATCTCAACAGTGCCCCTGCTTTTTGCGCAGCCTTCCGGCAAGGCGTGGTGCTGGGTTTAAGGCTTAATCAACATAGAAACCTACATGATTACCTGTACTTTTTTGGGGGGGGTTTAGGGTTTAGGGTTTAGGGTTTAGGGGGGGTCCTTATTATAATATATGTATAATAGGGTATAAAGGGCCCCAAAGCCGTCTTCTAATTATTCAGGCCCCTACATGAGGAGTTTAGGTGTAAGACATGAACCCAAGCTTCACCTGATGCTCATCGCATGCACACCTGTCATCCTAAGCTGCAAGCACCCGAAGCTTAGGGTTGAGGGTTTAGGGACCCGAAGCTGCTAAGCTTTAATCCGAATCTAAAGGCATGCACAGAGGAGTCGTGGCTTTGTCTGCAACTGACACTGTGAGGTCTGCATGTCTTAAACCCTAAACCCTTCAGGGTTTAGGGTTTAGGGGTTAAACCCTAAACCCTAAACCCTAAACCCTAAACCCTAAACACCCGAAACCCTACAGGCTTGAGAAATTCCCTAACCATAAATCCTAAACTCTAACCGGGTTCGGATTTGCCTGTCTTTAAACCCTTTAAGTCAGGCAATAAGAAGCAATGGGTTCCCTTGCAGGGTCGGTGTCCCTCGCAATGAAAGGTGTAGTACAAAAACCGGAGCAAAAACTGACCCTAAACCCTATTCCCAAAGGCTCCTCATCATACTTCTAGTCTAAGGCCCTGTTCAGGCAACTATGTCGGAGTCAACACGTCCCCGCGTCTTTTGCTTTGGTAGCCGGGAGTTGATAGAACTCCCGGCTGACGCTATCACACACGCTCAGCTGCCGACACACCTCCTGACCCTTGTGTTGGATCGCGCCGATGCTTCCAAGTCAGCAAAGTCTTACAGATCGAAGCTTCAAGACAGCTTGAACAAGCATCCAACATGCAAAGGTGGTAAGTTTTGACCAGAGCAACTATCCCGCCTGGCAACCTCCAGAAATCCAAGCCTGGACGACAGATCTAGTTCCTCTGAAGCCCCAAATTTTGCCTGCACATCTGCACCTGAATTTGTTGTGTTAATGCGGTTTCTGGTGTTCGATCGTGGTTGGTTTGTCTGACAGAGGAGTGGCTCTGTAGTGCATGCTGTATCGTACAAGATCCCACGGTACAAAACAAGCTTCCCGACCTTCTGAAGCCATGGGCCACGCTATCTCCAGCGTCGAGCGTGCCGCATGCTTCAGTGGGTACCTGCCCGAGTGTTGTGAACGCAGCCTGCCCTAAACCCGAAACTGTGCCCTGCTTCTTAATAAAGGGGCCTGCAGAATTTCTCGATCCATCCCGAAAGTTCCTCTTAGAGTTATCTATATTCAAATATACCCCCAACCTACATTTATCCTATAATTACTGGAGAGGTATGAAAGCCCCCAAAATATGCTTAAAGAATGCTGGGACAGGCCAAGGTAAATAGCCAGAAGACATTGCTCAGTTGCCGCAACATACCCTAAACCCTAACCCTTACCCTCAAAGGACTCATACTTTAAGGCTTTTGGACCCAAAGACCCTATTATAAAAGGCTTTTGGGCTTATTTTGATGCTAAGGGTAATACTTGGTTTCCGAGGTTGATTCGCCCGCATGCATGGGGTCTCTCCAGGAATTCACGAAGAGCTGGGGTTTGTTATGTTTTTTTTTTCTGAGGGGGGGGTGGCTGTATTTCCTCATTTCTTCGTAGTTAAATTATATAGCTGCCCTCGTTAGCAAGGGGCTACTGAACCCTAAACCCACAAGCCTAAACCCAAAGCCCGATAAGCCCTCACTGTCAGTTCTTGCGCGCGCTGTATCAGTCTCCCCACCGCATCCCACCGCCCAACCCTGCCTCACGGACCCGCAAGTTCCTGGTTTAGGGTTTAGGGCTTTTTAGGGTTTTGGGCTTATGGTTTATGGGGTTTAGGGTTTGATTTTGGGTTCTGTTTGTTTAGGGTATGGGGCTTGTAGGGTTTATAGGGTTTAGGGCAAAACGTTAGAGCCCTCAGCAAGTAAAGTTGACATGTTTTGTAAGATCTCCTTAAACTCTAAGCCGCCAAACGCCAAACCCTGCTGTTTTGCAGGGTTTAGGGTTTAGGGTTTAGGGTTATTTCAGCAGGAATCCTGTCATTGCATTTATTGACGACCCTGCAAGACAGCAAACTATGGTCGGCTACAGTAAAATATGGCTAGTTCTCTCAATGAGGGTCCGTCTTAGGAACCAAACATAGAACGGCACCCCTTTTTAAAAAAGAACTCTTAAACCCTATACCCTAAACCTTAAACCCTAGGCCCTGAACCGTAATCTAGAGAATGACCCATTTCCCAAACCCCCAAACCCTGAAGCACCTCGACCCTCAGAAGTCCTTAGGCAGCCATTTAGCGTTTAGGGTTTAGGGTATCCCTGCGACCACATGGGCCTAGAAGTCCCAAAAGTCTCGAAATCCTCCTGGGTTTAGGGTTCAGGGTGGTGATTGCTTGATGTCCTTCTCACTGTTGTCAATATTTTCGTACTCTTCGAAATATCAGCATTCTTGTGCTTATTGGCTGATTGCGTATAGTGTTGCCACTTTTATTGGTAAAGCGATCACTGCCGTGGTCGATGAATATATCGTCCTTATCATCTGAACTACATGTGACAGGAACAGGTACTTAAAGGTACGTATTACCATGTCTACTATAAGTGCTGTTGTTTCTCGCCGTTATCGTTCAGTATTAGTGCTGCCCGGAATCTACGAGTAGCCTTGCCATGATGCTGTTGCTTAAAATGATGATGATGATGACGACGATGACGACGGCGATGTGATGATGATGATGATGATGGTCCTGGTCATCATGATGATGATGATGATGATGACGAAGCCCTGAATGCTAACCCCCCCAAACAAAAGCGATGATCCCTAAACCCTAAAACTCGAAACCGTAAACCCTAAGCCCTAAACCCTAAGCCCTGAACCCTAAACCCTAAGCCCTAAACCCTAAACCCTAAGCCCTAAACCCTAAACCCTAAGCCTAAAACCCTAAACCGGTCCGCTTGCGACTCCAACAAGGCCCTGGTCCTTACGACCCACGCCCAGCGCCTCCAAGCCGAGCTCGCAGAGGGCGCGGAGACCTGAATCTTCAGGGACTCCAGCTTCCAATGTAGGGAGGGTGTAGGGTTTGCAGGGTTTTAGGGTTTTAGGGTTTTAGGGGTTTACGGTTTTAGGGTTTTTAGGGTTTAGGGATTGGGGTTT